TTATGCATGCTCACTGTCGAATTGCATAGTACTGGGAGATGAATTAGCCTGCGGCTGAAAATCTAGATTATAAAGACAAAAAAAATGGCAAAGCGTCCTGTTGGTGACCAATTACAAAAAAAAATAAATGATCCGTTTAGTGAAGATAATCGTTATGTAATGCATATTGTCTGTTTGTCTGTGATAATTAAATTTCGTTCAAGATGGTGGAACTAAATAATAAATAAAAATATCAATCGAAAGAATGGGTTTGAAGAGTCATTTAATTTGCTTTGAAAAAACAGAAAAAAAATCCTTCTTGTTATGTTTTATAACTTACTATCACAACTTCAAATTACAGCAACTATATTTTGAACTTTTTTTTGTTTAACCTATTATATATATCAAAAAGACTAGAACACGAAGGTGTTCAAATATAAGCAAAATTTATCCACAAAAAATTTCATTGATGGTTTAGTTGGAAAATTAAACTTAAATTTGACAACACTGTAAACAATTTTTAACTTGATTAGATGTTTTCTTAAGTCAAAAAACATAATAATAAAAATCTCATATTTTTAGTCATTCTTTGCCTCAAAATGCTGTATCTAAGGAAATACGCAAATTACTTTTTGTCGATAAGTGTGGAAATTTTATTATACTCAATCTGAGAAAATTACTTTCAAACACAAATATAAAATATTTGGGAACACTGAACACTTGAAAAAATATCTTTGTAAAATATGTGGCAACACTGTACGAAAATATCAAATTCATATTTAGATTACCTATAATTTTTTCTAATTAAAACATTTTCTGTAAAAACCTTCAACAAATTATGTCTGTATTACTCCATGCGTGAAGTTAACGGTTTACAAAATTGAAGATGCTTAGCGACAAATCTCACACTCAAAGTGTTCATTTTATACGATAGATGAGGAGATGAGAGCATAGAGTTCCGTTAGAGAGAAGAAAGCAAGCAAAGGCCATTTTTGAGGAAGATACGAAACGGATTGATCATCTCCTTTACCAAACTCCGCCGTTGGGGAGGAATGGTAAGGGGTATCTCCCCCCGCCACCACTGACAAAAGAGATGATCGATTGTTTCACACTCAAATCGAGATCTGGCGTAAGCATTTAGGTTTGGAAATTGCAGCTAGTGTTACCTCTACCGCTGTATGTGCTCCTGTCATCGTCAACCTAACGATCTCAAGGAGACAGTGGTAGGGTAGGTGCTGCTACGTCAGATGGCTACTTGAGTTTGCCAGTGAGAGTTTGGCAAAGAAGATGGTCAACCCAATTCGCATCTTCCTCAAAATTGACCTTTGCTCACTTTCTACTCTCTATGTACAATTTTCACACTATCGTACTCTATGGACTATACTCTATACTTTCATCTCCTCATCTGTCGTATAAAACTACCACTTTAGGTCTGAAAATCGACGTTTTATTTCCTTTATTACTATCATTTCAATCTTGTCTGGAATTTTTCAAAATCGATTGGAAAATCAGGGAAAACCTACCAGGAAAATTATTTTTCATCATTGAGTCTCCATATAACCAATCCTCTGGCATGGCCATTGATTCTTGAAGCTGCCGTCAGTGATAGCGGTGGCGATGAGGTTGGAATGATTTTAAGCTTCGGTCATAAGTTACCATCATCATGGCTTAGCGATGAGTTTCACCCATCCGAGTATGACCAACCGATAGGACGGTAATTGATTCTTGAAGCCACCGTGAACTCACTTATATGCCCTTCTTTCTTATAATTTTATAGAACAATAGATACCCAACTGAAAAACACCGAGAGATTAATTCAAAACACTAATCACTTGATAAATTTTCATGAATACCACAACGTTACCATGGCCACGTAAATGGAGCTGAAACTCGTAATGTTTACATCAGCTGTCAATAACTGACGTATAATTGAGCCAACGAGCCAAAAACATCGACTTCAAGCAAAGTGTTCTTGGATGACTTTTGTGCCACCGGAGCGGTAGACACCAGACATCATATGCCAAGAAAAAATTATAAAATCTTTAGGTATAAAGGGATTCCGTTAAGAGGTTCGACAAATTTAAAGGATTTATAAAATCTTATTGAATGGAATCCGCATCAATTCGGAGATTCTCTAAAACAAAAACAAATTATTTATTCAAACTCGTAACGAATTGGACACAATAGTCAGTTTCATGCAATACTGTCACAAATCGTATTTTCCATTTGCATTGTTTTTTTAGATTTTGATGGAAAATTACGGCTAATAGTGTGAAGCTTCATCCCACAAACCCCTATTTTGAAATTCATGCAAAGTCTAAAGTTATTGGTAGATATGCCGTTGGTACAACTTTAAAAAAAAATTAAAAAATAAAGTAGCATCAAAGGCACATTTTCAGTTATCGCTATGTTGCCCATATAAATATGAATTTTTGTTTGTCCTTTACATTGTAAAAAGAAACCCCATCTTTACATGACGAAGGGGCACACGTCAAATCTAATCGTAATATGTTATTTAATTCTTCATTTAGGCTCTTAACTGGAACTATGAGCCTGCCTTTAGCTTAGTGTTCTTTGTGCACTAGACTGATGCAAAATTTGACTTTTTCGCTCCACAGTGCTTAAATGGTTTCAAATCGGTACCTGATTAGCCTCCCAAAGTTACAACTCTTTTGGTTAGAAACAGACTTCGAACAAGCCATTTGAAGTTTACATATAAATTACTATGGGAAATCTCAACTTTCTGTTCATTGCCTTCTAACCTTTTTCCATATTGAGCTGCGAAACAGTTCGATAGCCATTCTTATAGAAAATTTTCTCAGCTACAACTTTGCTCAAAATTGTTTCTATGTAAAACGAGACTGTTATTAATTATTTAAGAGATTGGTAAACTTATGACATGATCAAGCAGCTGCTCTTTAGGCAACACTGTATTTTGCAATGTGACATAGTAGCCTTGATTTTTGTGTCCTATTCAACGCCCCAGAAACACCAATGTTGCCTGCTGAGCAGTTGATTGAGCATGATCATAAGACATCAGCGCTTTGAACCATTGATAACTTTCGATCCTTGCATTTAATCAAAAAGTGGTCTTCAGCAAAGTTTCCTACAAGTAGAGTTGAAAGCTTTTGAAGCAGATCGATATGGTGAATTATGATATAGGCATGACAAAAATCTTGGTTTTACCATAGTAATTCCCATACAAACTTCAAATGGTTTGTGCCATCTCAGTTTCTCACCAAATGGGTTCAAATTTTGAAAGGTTAGTCAGGATCCGATTTGGAATCATTTAAGTACTGTGGAGCGAAAATTTCAAATTTTGCATCACTCTATTGCGCACCCTTGATCACACCAGGAATAAATCCAGCAAAATCCGGAATGGTATATCGCGCCTTCACTGACTAGACGATCGGGAGTCCTTCGATTAGTTCACTACAATCAGCACCGCACACCGCAATTGACTTCCAAAAGTTGATTATAGAATCAAAAAATGCATGTATTTTGCAATTGAAAATTTATTGTCTGATAAAACAGTGCCTGATAAACGATTTAAAGTTTATTTGCGGAGTTAAATGCATCTATAGATTTTGAACTCCAAAACACCTCGAAAATCGCGATTCAGTCTTTATTTGTAGAGATAAATGCATTCGAACCTTAAATTTCCTACCATTGGGATAATATTGTTGCTTGTATGAAACTTGCACTCAAGTTAAACAAAATTATGAAGCGCCCCCATCCATAATTGTAGTTTCATAATTCATGAATCAACCACCCACTTCACTCGGATACTGATCCCGGTGTCATTTTGTGCAAGATTTACGCCCGGTTGAGCCTCTTTTGTCGGCGTTTGGTCGCTGTGACTAATAAATAATTGCATTTCCACTTTGATCAAACTTTTCCTACTGCTTGCCGTACCTACATATATCGTTTGCCCTGGGCACTTGCAGTGTATCATGTATAGCATGGCCATGGCAAAAACTAATATCAAAGCAGCAACAGAAAGCGTTCGCAAAATTTATGTGACATATGAAATAAAACTTTGTGTCTCCACTCTCCTCGTAGCCTCAGCCGAGATGGGTCGGGTCTTCGGGAACGACACGGGAGATCCTTTATTGTGCTTGAAAGGACAACTTTTCGCCTGAACGTTCATCCTTTATGTTTATGCGGACGAATACGGACATGTTTACCGTATGAATATATGAAACGGAGGTCGTCGCTTTTAATCTCATGCAGGGATCACAAGAAGCGTTCCAGTGTCCCCTACTTTCTAAGCAGGATACTCTGGCGACGAGGATATATTTCATTCTCCTCCCACAGCAGTGTCACTGGTTGCCTTGGGTGGGCCCTGGGTGTTAGTCATCATGTGCGCGTTGCAAAATGTCGCTTCCTATTCCTGGACCTCCAGCTAGAAGGATATCATCACCAACAGCTAGACGACCGAATGGAAATAAATTGTATCCTCTCTGGCTCCCCCCATCTGCTGTGAATCGGAGAAACATTAAAGTGTGAGCAACGCTGCCATGTTAGATCCTTCGTCGTCGTCGTCGTCGTCGTCGTCGTCGTCGTCATCGTTGCGCACATACCTACCTATGACTGAGTGTGTCTGTGAAGCATGGCTGTTTGTTAATCGAATTGACCTCTTTTGAAGTTGGGAAAATTTGTTAAAGCGGAAAACTTTTCGCACTGCAAAAAGTATTAAATTGGAAGTAAAGCAGAATTCGGTCGTACTTTAATTACACGCACAAAACATAAGGCCACGCAACAATGATATAATTTCGAGCATCATAATTGAGCTCCGAGGGAATCTTCCATTTCAGCCGCTCCCGTTTCTGTGCTCTCCTGGAATGTGTACAATTTCCAGCGTAAAATTTTCAATTAAAAATCACTCCCTCTCTTATTTTTAAGCTGGAAGACTTGGTATTCATCATTCTCTTTCAGTCCTGTAACTGGACTATTTCATTTAAATTGGATTACAAATGTTTAATCACTAAATAACAATTTCTTTCTTTTTCTACTTTCAGGTCTCGAAGCACAGGTGCAGGAGTCGTCCAAGGATCTATACTGGTTTTAGATAGTTAGCAAAATTATTTGATAACGTTAGTGGAAATCAGCCAGATGTAAACCAGCGAAGCGAATATGGGTACAAAATTTAAAAAAAACCGTGGCACCACACTGCACTAGAAACGGAGCAAAAATTTCGGACTGCTGAAATTTGTGAAAATCAAAAGACAAACCTAAACCTAAAAACAAATGGAAAAAAAGCACTTGAAAGTGATTTTAGTGATATGTAATCTAATTTATCTAACCGTACACTTCGTTCAAATTTACTTTTATTAAGGCACAATTTTAACTGAGCTTTCATTCGAAAGTAAACGGTTTTCGGTTTCGATGATTCTGTAGACAATGATGTAATCTACCTTCAACAGACTGTGTCAAGTTTTGCTAAACTTGAAGTTCAATGTAAATTGTATCTAATGTAAAATCGAAAATCTTTTCATTTTCCAACTTATCTTTTCTGCGCTTCAGCATGTATCATATATCGAATAAGACAGTTGCGTGAAGAAAATAGTTCAGAATTACACAGCAAATATACTTGAAGAAAATCACAATTGAATTATGTTACAGTGATCCACATACACCACACACCCATACACAATAAAAACAGAAGTGAAATAACCGTTTTCCCTCTCCTAGATGGATCGATAATATGTGCATATATTAAATTAAAAACTTAAATCATTGCAGCTCGGCAAGGTGACACATTTGAGTATGTTTAGGTACACAAACGGAACCTATGTAAGCTAATTTAAAAAGGCAACACAATACAGCAAGTAAGCAACGCTGCGCTGCGTACAGTTCTTATATAACAGTTATTTTATTGCAATATGATTATTATTACTCCTTCTGCTGATGAGTGGAACAGGAAAAAGCACACTTACTGACGGAAATCATCTGAGCATTATATGCGAGAACCAGTCTTTATGTAGATGCCGTCGCGAACGGTAAATGATAAAGCAAAAAACTGTAATAAAGCAAAAAATCAATCTAAAACAATCGGTGTAATGTAGCTTTTGATCCGAAATTTCCGTTTTGAATCTTCATTGAAGTGGCTACTTTACAATTCTCGTATGGTGATGCTCATCGCTCTAGTTTTCGGATGCACCCGTAACGGCCTATGGGTAGGGCCAAAAACTGGTGCCATCACGTATATACTCGCAAAACAAATTTCTCTCACTTTCAATGTATCCACCCTTACAATATTACATCCTCTGCATATGTTTCATACAACAAATGTAATGGTAGTCTCAAACCCTTTTCGAGACGATTTTATAGACGCAATGCAATTGGGGAAACAAACTAGGTTCGAAAAAACCATCCGGCGACCATATTACAGAATCGGTATATGTCCCGAAACATTGAAAATTTTGCATACTTTTCATACAAATCTGTAATAGAATCTTACATTTCCCGGTTTTTTATAGCGGTGCCGGTGGTGTAGTGGTAAGCGTGATTACCTCACACCCCAGCAGACCTGGGTACAATCCCAGTCGGCGCCGCCGGGATGTTCTGACGCATAACATCTCTGATCACGCCTTCCTTCGGATGGGAAGTAAAGCCGTTGGTCCCCGGTTCATGAGTTGATGGGTTGATAGGTAGGGTCCAGGTGTGGGAGCTGCCTTCCTGGCACGTCGGTAGCATTGGTGCTCAGCACGGAAAACAAGATCGACGGAAAAAACAAACCAAAGGAAAAAAAAATAATAATTTCCCGGTTTGGTACATATATGATTGTTCGGGTAATATACCATAACTGGCTCACTTACCATAGAAGATTATAAATAAAACGCCTTTTTACTAATGTTGCTAAAACTTCGTATACACTCAGCCATCTTTGATATTACCTCCAACGGCCATTTTTCAGACGGATCAAGAACTAAAGATCGTCGTCTACTATAATTTAATCGAACTTAACCTCGCATTTTGCAGACGTCCGTTACGTAAGAAGAATCACCGCAATTTATGCATTTAGCTGACATGTAGCAATTTTTTATTCCGTGACCCCATCCCTGGAAGTTACGACACTGAGTAAGGTTTTGGAAATCGATAGTGGTTACCACAATATGAGGGACCTTTTCCTTCTTGGCATTAAGCCGGGGATGTTTATAGGATTTTTTTTCTGAATGATGGATCACTCTCATCATCCATGACCATATCAAATTGATTGCTCAACAGAAATTTCATCAGAAGAGGGATCATGCGGTTGCCTTTTCTTTTGGGGTTAGCGCCATGACGCAAAAAGACAGTTTCTTCAAATCGACTTCCAAGCAGACTACTATAAGAATCCGATGGATCAAAGAGGAATTTCCCGATATCTAAACTGGATTACCTCGGGTAGGGTCCAAACAAGGGTCAAAGAGGAATAAGAGCCAAACAAGGTTGAAAATATGTAGGTAGTATTTAGCACTAGAAGTGCTGTTTAAATTTGTTGTAGCTTTAGATAGCAAAAAGTACGGCCAGAGAGCACGATGCGGACTGTTGCTTTATATCTTGGATCCTTTATGTAACGTTGGTCTCTGTTCCACAATCTAATCCAATAATCCAATAACCGACGGGAATCGATTCCACTCCTGGTTAGATATTGCACCCCTTTGGGCTGGGATTGAACCCAGACAAACTAGGGTAAGAAAGCAGTCTCACTTACCAGTACCCCTCTGGCAATATCTCAGCAGCCATATGCTTTCAAGTATCCGATTGATATATGCTATTACTACAAATGCTGAATGGTGAACAACACTTTCGTGAGCTGTCAATGTGACGTAAACCCATTTTTTCCTTGATTTGTTTCCCGTCGATCTTGTTTTCCGTACTGAGCTGGTGCAGATGCCCGGGAGGCAGCTCCCACACCTAGATCCTACCTATCGACCCATCAACTCATGGACGAAGGACCAATGGTTTTACTTCCCCGTGAACAGAGATTTTATGATTATCCACAGTCGCACTAAAGACTTATCAAAAACTTAACCTCGTTAAGTGCTCATCCCCTAACGGGTGTTCAATAAAAAATGAGAAGGATTTCAGTGCCGTCCAGCGCTCTTGTGAGAGCGTCGCGACTAAGTTGCTGACCAGGGCCCCGTCTCCAATATTCATTGACGCTTTTTTTAAGAATAAACATTATGCTTTTAATAAAAAAAATACTGCATTCGTTTTACTAGCTGTATGACTGAAAAAAATTCTCATTTTAGATTGAACACCCGTTAGGTAAAACATTCAAAATCACAGTTATAAAAATGAAACTACAACGTGTAGAATCAGAACCTACCTATCTAATAATAACCAAAGATTTAAGTAAAGTAAAGGAGAAAAATCTATTCAAATCTCTAATAAGGAAAATATCCCAAAGGCTTGTTAGCCATCATAATGAAGTAATGAAATTGGGTTGATAGCGGAATGCTTAACTAAAACAGCGAAAAGGTTATCTTCCATTTAATCCCACTTAATTAATTTTGGTATCCATGACCGATACGTATTTCGACTACAATATGCTGTCTTCATCAGTGTCATTCCCACTAAAGACTTATCACTGGTACTCTGGTTCTATCATATCAAATAATGGTGGAGTAAATTTACAATTGCTCTTATTTTTGATGCACTCTTTTTTCACGTTTTTGATTTTTTTTTTTTTTTAGCTTTTTATAAAAACATTGATATTTTTCTAATAGTCATCTAATCGATGATAAGGGATCGTAAAATGTATGTCTGTGTATGTGTGTGTAAGAGCGCGTAACGCAATTTTCTTAAACGTATTTTTTCGGCAACCACTCTACAGAATTGAATGAAACAACCACCAAATGAAAGATACCATGATTCTACACTGAGGCAAATTGACTTGAGAATTTCATAAGGCTCGACTTATGAATAACACATATGAATTTCATAAGCGTGACTTATGAATGATTTTCGGGTAACATGAGGTAGCTCTTATACGCCTTAAACCATTCCATTTTCCCAAGCGTTGAAAGACGGGTGGTCATCATACGAGCCCCGTTATCTTAACGTCCATGGGTTGGTTTCAGTCTGCTCAGATTTATTGTTTTTTTGTCAACATTATTTTTCATAAGGCAAATCAATGAAATTCATACTGATTTCTTTTTTCTAATATTCATAAGTGTTTCTTATTAACTGGTTCCGATATGATATGGATGGATGGACCAAGACCCGAAAATTGTGGAACTCGGGAACTAAGTGGTGTTTGTCGGCAACCACAAAACCGAATTGAACGAAACATCCATCAAATAAAAGGTATTATGATCACATTGCATTCTGTTGAACAAATTTAGAATCGGTCAACTATTTCCGGAAATTTGGGCGGAACAAGTTCCGAAAAACATGGATTTTGGGAACTAAGTTTTATTTCTTTGTAATTCGAATTGAACGCAACAACCACCAAATGAAAAGTATTATGAGCCCATAGCTGCGCCTTTAAAGACTGAGCTAAGAAAGTACCCTACTTCAAAATATAATAACCAAATTAATTGTGGCAATTTCGAGCGCCACGGACCACATTGGTCAGTTCCGGGCATGTTCCAGATGACACCGAGAAATTAACCAGACCAGACTTGAATTAAAACCCATCATGCCAAATAATGAATTTTGATTTCATCAAATCGATTAAATTCCAAGATATAAGGAAAACAATGCAGCATCAGTAATAAAAGATATCTACAATTTGTAAGTGGGTACGTGAAACTAAGGTTTTCTGTTTAGTTACTCGAGGGGTGCCTTTTCCTTTCTCCTACGGCCTTTTATTCCATTTTTTCTCTTTTCAGAAAGCGAGTAATGGTGCTATAACCATAAGCCATGTAGGGCTAGGACAAGAGTCAGTGCTCATGTCCCAACCACTCGAGGAAAATGGAGCATCATTTAACTTTTTTAGATTAGATGCTCCCAACGATCAATCAGTTATAAATAACAATACAACGGAACGTACGGTACGAGATGTCCACGTTTCATCCATTTATTGGATTCTGAAGCATCGTGTTTACATCTTTGATTTAAACAAGCCCGATATTTCTGAATAATCTTGCCCCTTAAATGCTGTACAGTAGACCTGGCCGTTTTGGTATATTTTGCGAATCTCTGATGTACAACATATACCAAATAAATAAGAAAAATGGTGGAGGTATATCTATCATTTTCCAGGATGCTTTCATGAACTGGCTGTGTTGGTGTTAGATAGATTCGGTTAGATTAGATAATAAATTACTGATTAATTAGTAGTGCCACTTTGATTGAAGATGGGTTAACTTTTACTCATAAATGGATGTTTGATTCTTACCGTGTACATGATAGTATACGCTAGTGTGTGTTTTAATTGATATTATAGTGTAGTGTTCGCCGGATCGGAAAACTCAATCAATGACGTTTACATAAGGTCCGGGCCACGTCGTCATTCTACCATAACATTCCATACTGCGAACATTGAGATTCACGTCACTGCCAAAACGAAACAGTGTAATTCATTGCAATGAAATACGAACACCACTAAACATTTACATATTTCACTAACACCAATAAGCCTGTTGGCCCGGACCTTATATAAAGGACATTGGAACTCAATCTCACGAATCCTACAGTACAATATAATGTTATATGCATTAACTTAGACTGTCATGATATGCGTAGAATTTGTTTTTGTTTCAAATTTCTTTACGCTCATTTCGTATCGATCTTGGGTTGATTTTTCGATAATGGATCAATGAAAATGCTGAGGTTTTGACAGAACTATGCTGTGGCTCCAACAATATTTAACATTTGATCGTCCATATACAGTAGCGCCAAAAGCATGCTGTGGTGTGTTCAAAACTTGACCATCTAAATGGATCAATTACTGTTGTTTCACATTATTCGTGATAAAATAATGCATTCTAAATGTTCCGTGGCTGGCTGGTTCGTGTATGCAAAAGATACAATCTACAAGCTGTTCAGAGTTCCGGCTTTACCAGCCACTCGGTTGGAGAAGAAAAGCAGTATCAGGAA